GACCGGGGAGCCTTCCCGGTCCGGCCGGACCTCCTCACGCTCATCCTGCTTGGAGAAGGATGACGTGCAGGGCGCCCCATGGGGAGCAGGCGGGAAGCCTCGAGGCAAGGGGGCTGCGTGCACGCAGGAGCCCCCTCATCCCTGTGCTCTGACGGCGGGTCCTGGGCTGCGGGCGGCGCCGGGCTCACCTCGGCCCCACCTCGGCCCCCTGGGAGCCCAGCAGGTCTCCACCCGCCCCTGATTAAACATCCGCTCTTCTGAGAGTAAATGGGAGAGCGTTGTGTCCAGGTCCTGTTCACACGCTGGTTTTGACTCTGAGTGCGGCTGAAGATACAGGGAAGCGTTTGACAGCTACTGGTGAGGAACGGTCTTCCAGTGAAAGGGGAGGTAGGAGGGGAGGCAGGGAGTCTGGGGACCCTGGAGCCATCTGAGCGCCGCGCTCTAGGGGAGGCTGGAAGGGGAGCACCGTCTCGGAAGCAAGAGACCGGCAGGCAGGGACCCTGGACTCTTCACAGGTTGGCGCCGGGCAGGGGCCCAGGGGCAGGGAGCTGGCTGCTGGAAGGCCTCCTGGGTCTCGAGGCCCAGAGTAGGGACGGCGACTTGGGTTCCATCTCCGTTGGATGGCTGTTGTGAGGCAGACGTGTGAGGCGCCGTGTGAGCGGCTGACAGGAGAGGCCGGGCCCAGCCCAGGGGCAGGAAGCAGCCTTCCTGGGAGGGCCGTCTAGGCTGAGCTGTGGTGAGGGGACACGTTGTCAGGGGGAAACTTTCACATGTTTTTCTTTAAAAGGCACATTTTATTTAAGATACAGTAAGACTCAAGGCCTTAATGATTCCATTTCCGTACCTGTAGATAGTAAATGACACCGTGTGTGACACAGTTTATAGCTTTCCACATGAACGAGCTTGGTGATCAGGTCTCTGTCCTGTTTTGACTTTTCAGCAGCGTTTGACATTCGTCACTCTGTGATTCCAGAATGCTTCTTTTATCTGGTACCATCTGTATACAAAGTGTCGCCAGCCCCAGAGCCCTCTTCTGAACTTCAGGTTGATTGACGTATCCAGCTGGATGTCCAGTGACTTGAGCTCAGGTCCAAACCAGAAGGCCCACAGCTCATCCGTGGAGTTGGCACAGCAGACCCGTCTGTTGCATTTCCCATGAGACGCATCCATGTTCGCTCTGCTCCGGCCGCCCCCTCTGCTGCAGGCGCCCCCTCTGCTCCGGCCGCCCCCTCTGCTCCCCCTGCTCCAGGCCGCCCCCTCTGCTCTGGCCACCCCCTCTGCTGCAGTCCTGTGCCAAGCTGCTTGGAGGGTTCAGTGGCCGCTCTGGCGAGGCCTGCGTTCCCCTGCAAGAGCATCTCAGCACAGTGGCCGGGCCCCTCCGCTGCTCAGCCCCTTCACTAGTTTCCGTCTCACGTAGAAGGAAACCTGCAGGCCCTGCAGCGGCCTGTAAGGCCCTGTGCGCTGGGCCCCGGTCCCCGTAGGCATCCTCACGGGTTCTCCCTTTGGCTGTTACGGCTTCAAGCCCAGTGGCCTCCAGGCCCGTCAGCAGATGTGCTGGGTTACCTCTGCCTCCGAGCTGAGAGCTCTCTGTGCTGTCTGGGGCTTCCCTGACCCCTTCTCCCGCCTCGGCTTCCTCCTCTCGGCTTTGCGGAAGTGGCGCTTTTCAGGCACGTGCTCACCCTGACCATCCTGTTCACACACCCAGACTGGCAGTCCCTGCCTCCCACCCTGCTTTTTATCTGAATCCGTATCTGTCGTTCTGTGCGCTTCATTCAGCCTTTCCACTCACTAAGGCAGGGAAAGCTGTCTGTTCTATTGGATTCTGCGTATTCTCCACAAAGAACAGTGACTGGCGTAGAGCAGGCTTTAAAAGCCGTTTATGATGTGCAGCTTAGAATCAGCAGGGCTCAGCTCTCAAGAGCTCTTCGTGGAGTGATGGGGGATGGTCAGCAGGATCGAGCAGGTGGGCATCACAAGCCTTCAGGGTGGCGTTGCTTTGCAGAGGTGGCGGGGGAGGGCTGGGCTTGGCTGTACTTATTTTAAGTTCATCCTAAGTTCAGTGTGAGTTTTTGCACTTTGAACAGTTTCTGCACCACAAATGCTACCTGCAAATAATCTTTATTTGCCAACTCAGCAAGGCAGATGGTTGCTAACAGCTTGACTGGTAATTCTTGTGAATTTTTTAAAAAATGTAAATTGAGGGACCTCCCTGGTGGTCCAGTGGTTAAGGCTTTGCACTCCCAATGCAGAGGGCTCAGGTTTGATCCCTGGTTGGGGAGCTAAGCTCCCACACGCCATGTGGCCAAAAAATAAAGTTAAAAAAAAAGTATCTATTAAAAAATGTTAGTTGAAGAGGATTAGGTTGATTGTACTTCTGAGTTCATGGAAAACTAGTCACTATTTCACATGAGTCTTCTCTTGTTTGTTTGTAGTTACTCTTTTTATCCCATCCTTTTTCCTTCAGTAGACAATATTTCTAATGTGTTTAAAATGTATCTTTTTTTGTATACATTTTAAAAAATTGTAACAATAAATAGAACTACTACTGCTTGCCAGGTGAGTGTGGCATTCTTGATTGTTAAAACATCAGCTTCACAATGTATCTGAAGCAATTTACAAAGACCACACACAAATCTGAACTGAAGAATATTGTGTTAGAGAAATTTGTTCTGTTGTTTCTCTCTCTCTCTGCCTGTAGCCACTCAATTTTACCAGGCTTTATTTTTTCTTGCTTAAGTCTACTATGCTTTTAAGATGTAAAGGTGTGATTTTCATCTGCGAATCGGCAGGTAAGTAGTATTGCAGATTAGGTCACTTGCTTTTCATTTTTTAAAAATAAAATGTCCTCTAGGGTTGAGAATGTTCAGGTTGGGATTTGAAATAAAGATCTCTTAGCTCTCTCTCAAACTGTTTTCTAGACCAAGTGATGAGGTGGTTTTCTGTTTTTTTGAGACAGTAAGATGCTCAGGCAGAAGGTTTGTTATGGCTTTAAAGGTAAGGGGTCCTCCTTGCCTTTGCTTGAGGGCACATGGCCCCCTCTGGACTTCCAGGGCCCATGTTCAGGGTCTAGTTCTTTTACTATTGGCAGGAGCTGCAGTGATTTTTCTCAGACCTCTCTGTCCCTGTTTTGGCATCTGACTTGAAATCTAATTTTTTATACCTTTCTTCAATCTCTGAGTTTTAAAGCACTGACAAGGGATGGCCCTGAAGTTTTGCTGTTCAGTCATGTCCGACTCTTTGCAACCCCATGGACTACAGCACACCAGGCTTCCCTGTCCATCATCAACTCCCGGAGTTTGCTCAAACTCATGTCCTTTGAGTCGGTGATGCCATCCAACCATCTCATCCTGTCGTCCCCTTCTCCTCCTGCCTTCAATCTTTCCCAGCATCAGGGTCTTTTCCAATGAGTCAGTTGTTCCCATCAGGTGGCCAAAGTATTGGAACTTCAGCATCAGTCCCTCCGACGAATATTCATGTTTGATTTCCTTTAGGATTGATTAGTTCGATTTCCTTGCAGTCCATGGGACTCTCAAGAGTCTTCTTCAGCACCGAAGTTCAAAAGCATCAATTCTTTGGCACTCAGCCTTCTTTGTGGTCCAGCTCTCACATCCATACATGACTACTGGAAAAGCCATAGCTTTGACTAGACGGAGCTTTGTCAGCAAAGTACTGAGTGTTATGGGGTCTTGGTGTGTTGAATGCTCTGCCTTCACTGCATGCCCGTTCCCCCAAGTCCTGGAGGAAAGGCTGTTCCTGGGGCAGAGCACCCGTCCAGGGACGAGGGTGGAGTTCACACCCTGGAGGTCTCGGCAGGCAGAGAGCCTTGCAACTTGTGAGCAGACTTGCCAGCGTGGTGTGGACCCCGCTGCAGGAGAGAGTCTTGCCTTAAAGGCTGGGTGACAGGCCCTCCTGACCACAGCGGCCTGCAGCCTGAGCGCAGCCCCTGCGTTCAGGTGCCTTCGGCCCTTGCGTGTCTGTTGGGGTCAGTGTGGGCACTAAGGGAATGCTGCAGCCTGTGGGAAAGTGATTTCCCAGGAGCAGTGAGGGTTGTCTGGTGGGAAGGCAGCGAGACCTGCTCCCTAACACCTGTGACATCCTGGAGTGGCCTGGGAACTTGCCGACACTGGTGTGCATGGAGATGCCAGATGCTGTGTCCAATGTAGGGTGGAGATGCGGGGCTCCCTGCCTGGGGGCGGCATCCGTGGGGAGGGTGGGGGCAGACAGCACGTCCTCAGAGCCTTGGAGTGGAGGGGAGCCCAGGTGGGTGGGCATGTCTCTCTGGGTGTGGGGTCAGGAGACGCCCCGGATGCGGCCCCGGGCGGCGGGAGGACTGCTCCACACAGTCAGCCTGGACTCACCTACCTGTTGACGTGCTCTGGTCACCCAAGACTGTGTTTGGTGGTTTGGATTGTGATTGTCACAGTTTTTTAAGGGAATGCATATCTGTGTTTTGCTTACTGTTTTCACCTGGTGGTTTTAAACTAAGATCAGTTTCTTGTAGTGCGCTGTCAGACTTACCTGGGAAATGTTCCTCTCTTCCTTTTGTGACCCCTGCTGGGAGGGAAGTGTACAGTGCTCCTCAGACGTCGGGTACGCGAGTGTCGATTCAGTTCTGCATTTCCGTTTGCTGTTTTTATTTCCCACCAAACTAAGCTCTGCCTGCCTTATTAACGTCTAGCGCCTGCCTCGGAGTAATAATAAGCACATAGCAGGTTCGAGATAAACATGTTGCATGCAGAAGTACCTGCTGTCTAATTCAGAAACTTTCTGTTGTTTGAGATTCTTTGTGAAAGCTGATCATGCTGTTTTAGAAAATGTTTAAATTGACCTTCAGTGTGAATGCAGGCCTGGAGCTCCACACCTCACCTCCACCCCCACCCCCCCACCCCCAGGACATTAAGTGTGAAAGGGCCTAAACTCAGGTGCACCGGAGAGAATTGGCCCTGAGCCAGGGCTCCGCCATGGTCCCTCTGGGATCTGATGCCCCCTCTCTCCCCCAGGATCTTTACTCTCTACAGTAAGTCTCTGCCCCTCGACCTGGCCTGCCGGGTCTGGGATGTGTTCTGCCGCGACGGGGAGGAGTTCCTGTTCCGCACGGCCCTGGGCCTCCTCAGGCTATTCCAGGATGTCCTGACCAGGATGGACTTCATTCACGTGGCGCAGTTCCTCACGAGGTTGCCCGAGGACCTGCCCGCCGAGGAGTTCTTTGCTTCCATCGCCAGCATTCAGATGCAGAGTCGAAACAAGAAGTGGGCTCAGGTGAGTGGGCTTTTGTTCCCTACCCCTGTCTGGTTGAGGAAGTGGCTTCTGTGGAGCCCCCGTGAGGAACCAGCTGTCTCGGAGGCGCCCTGGGTTTGGGGCCTGCCTCCGCCAGAGGCGGTCTTAGGCAGTCGTTCCCTCCTTGGGTCTCCGTTGAGGGAAGGAGCTGGAGAAGGAGAGCCGCCCCCCCCGCCCCTCCAGGGGCTGCCCAGTGGCTCAGATGGTGGAGAGCCTGCCTCTGGGTGGCGGGGTCCTCTGAAGAAGGAAAGGGCAAGCTACTCCAGTCTTCTTGCCTGGAGAACCCCATGGACAGAGGAGTCTGGCGGGTACAGTCCGCGGGGTCGCAGAGAGGCAGACACGACTCGGCGAGTAAGCAGCAGTGGCAGCACCCGCCTGCGTTGACATCGGAGTCAGACCCTCTGGTTTGCCAGGAGCACAAGGCCCTCTGCCTGACAGGCTTCTGTAAAGCGAGCTTCCCCCCTTCTTAAATCCCAGAGACAGAGAGCCAAGGGGGCTGACCTGTCACCATCTCACCGACAGAGGAGGCCCAGAGAGGGGCCGCGTGTCCTCAGCAGTTGTAGAGGGGAGGGCGTGTCCTCAGCAGTTGTAGAGGGGAGGGGGGAGGGGGGAGGGGAGGGCTTCTCCGGACTTGTTGCTGGAGCTGCTGGGGCTCCGGCAGCTGCTCTCAGGGCTGTCCAGCCCAGCGCTCGGGAGCGCGTCCTCCTAGGACCACCTCTCCCAGGCTCCCCGCCTCCCCTCCGGACTTCCCTCCAGGTGTTTGACCCTGTGGCGTTGGTCCAGTGTTGTCTGTTCCTAGTCTTTATCACATAAAAGGGAAAACCGAACACCCCGCCTCTGGGCGCTGTGTCGCCCAGTTTGCCTGAGCATCAGGTCCTGGGGGGAGGCTTGTCCTTGCCAAAGTATGCCATACAGTACATGTTCCTGATTTATGGGGTTTTTTTTATTAGTGGAAGATTTACAGTACATTCAAAATAGAAGAAAAGAGAATAACCAACCCCATGTGCCTGTCAAGTATCCAGTCAGCTTTCAGATTTCTGTTTTCAGACATCAGCAGTAGCTTTCTCCTTTGCTTAAATCAAGATCTAGGTAAGGCCTACACGTTGTAATTGGATGAAAAGTCATTTACACCTTCTTTTAATGTATAGGGTTACTCCTCCTTTCCACTTCTCCCTTCCCCCTTTATTTATTGAAGAGACGAGGTCAGGTCCACTGGCAGTTCTCACTGTCTGGGTTTTGCTGCTTCTGTCCCTGTGGTGGTGTTCGTCGTGGTCCTTCTCTCTTTCCTGTGAATTGACAGACCTGGGGCCTCGAGGAGGGTCCCAGTTTTTACGTTTGGCCAGATTACTTCCCAGGTGATCTGACTCTCTTTCTCTGATCTTAGTGAGTGGCCTATTTATTTTTGTAACAGCTTTAATAATTTACCATAAACTTCACCCTTTTTAGAGTAAACAATTCAGTGCCTATTTATTTGTTACCCAGAGAGGGTCCCCTCTGCCCTGGGCCCTTCACCTGGCCCCTCTCTCCCCGTTCCCCCACCCCAAGCTGCTCCTGTCTCACCTCCTGTGATGCTCTCTGGCTGGTGGGCTTCCTTCCTGTCTGGGTCTTTAGGGAGAGCGCAGCTGCCGGCGGGCCCTGGGGTGATGCCGTGACGTGCTCCCCTGGTCTCGCCGGCCGGGGGGCAGGGAGCGCTGCTCTGTGCTTAGTGTGCTGTGAATTACATTCCTGAAATGAATGCATTCAGTTTATAGAAAGGAGTGAGGTACTGACTCATCGACAGTATGGGTGCCCCTTCAGAACACTACGTTAGGTGAGAAAGCCAGACCCTGAAGACCACACACTGAGTGGTCCCATTATTCCTGTGCAGTTTCAGAAGGGGAGCTGCAGAGACCAGACGTGGTGAGTGGGGGCAGGGCTGTGACAGCCGGAGGGCAGGGCTTACTCTTGCCCTGATGAAGATGTCCCGAAATTGGCTGTGCCGAGGGCTGCACGTCATCTGTGAGTGTATTAAAAGCCATTGGACACATGAAGTGGGTGAATTTTATGTATGGTTTGTGAGTTATGTCTCAGTAAGCTGTTAAAAAAACCAGGAACCTGAGCTCCTGTGTGAGGAGGACTGGCTATGTAATTATCAGGGATCTGGTGAGAGGGAAGAAGAGCCTTCCTCTGATTAAGAAATAAATGGGCAACACAGAACGAAGGTATGGGGCCTCGCGTTCAGAATTAGTGTCTGGGGTTTGAGGAGGGCGAGTGCAGAGCGCGGGGCTGGGCAGGGCCTCTGAGTGGGGCCCCGGCCCCCGCCAGACCGCGCAGGTGCACGCCTGCCTCGCGTGGGCGTGCTCTGGAGTCTCCTGGGACTCAGCCACTTGCAGCGATGCTCTAAAGTAGCTTCAGAGAGCCAGGGCCCTTCCTGACGACCATGCCCGTCACTCAGCCAATGCTGCCTCGGCTTTTCATCACGCACAGCTGTGGTCTGCTGACCTCCCTTTGTGTTTCACTGGTCCTCCCCCGCCCCCGTCCCACACCCGCAGAGACATGCACAGACAGACGGGTTGAATCCAGATCTGGCATTCTGCTTCTTGCATTTTAGGTGAAAATTACTGGTTAAGACCAAGTCAGAGGTTGTTAGATAGTAGGACATCCTCTAATAGTGGGGCGGTAATAGGAGTTAGCCTGACCGTGCGCTTCTCAGTGAGTTTAGTTACAGGTCCCACGGGAATTGTGGTTTGTGCCCATTTTTCTTAAATAAGGTGCTTAAGGTTAAGATCCTGCTGAGCTTTACCAAACAGTTAAGCGGTTGTGTTTGGCTGGCCGTCTCACCCACTCAGAGGAAGACAAGGGGGACTTTGACCTGCCATTAGCCCTTCTGTGCCATTTATTTGAAACCCTCATGCAGTGTTTTTGCTTTACCCCCCCTGTAATTTGTACTTTGCCTAAAGTGGTCCAGTGCTGGGCCCAAGGAGTTTCAGGAACTGGTGGTCTGGAGATCCCCTTGGTTCCGAAATGAGACCCATGTAAGTGTGGATCCGTGTGAGCGGTGTGGCTTTTAGCGGGTCGATTGTGTCTGCCACGCCCTGCCTTCCATGTTGTGCAGGTGACACGGCTGCTTTGTGGGCGGTGCCTGGCAGTGCTCTGCGTGGCTGCAGTAAATGGGCCCGTCTTATCCCTGCTGTTGTTAAGCAATGTGGAATGTTAAGCAGAGTGGAATGCCATGTTTTTAAAAATAAAGGTGTTAACTTAGAGCTCCGAGCAGTGAGGAGGAGCTCGCCCTGGGGACACTCAGGGAGGCTTGGCGGGGAGCTGGTATCTCCTGGGCCTTAGAAGGATTGCTCGTTCCCTGGTGAGGAGAGAGGGACGGGGCAGAGGGCACGTGAGCCTTCTGGAGCAGGAAGCCTGGCTTCGCTGCTGGGGCACGCGGGGGCTGGAGCCAGACTGGAAGGGGCAGAGCCCAGTAGCCCTGCCTTGACATTGGCGGCTGGTGCCCGGAGGGAAGCCCCTAGGCTAATGTCCTAGCCCAGAGAGTGTGTGACCCGGGCTCCGTGGTAGGAAGGTGAGTCTGGAGGAGTGTGGAAGGCAGACCGGAGTGGCCGCCGGGGGGGCCGTGAGGACCTGTGTCCGTGTGTGTTGCCCGTCGCCTACTGGTGTCTCCCTGTGATTGCCAGGTGCTGACCGCCTTGCAGAAGGACAGCAGGGAGATGGAGAAAGGAAGCCCGTCTCTGCGGCATTGACAAGGCAGGTGGACTCGCGCTCGGCTGGGAAGCAGGCTCCACGCGGCACCTGTGTGGCCTCAGGCGGATGCCCTGGCAGCTCCGGAGGACAGGGGCTGTTTCCACGTTTGATCCCTAATGCTGGAGTTGGCCTTAAACACAACACAACAAACAAAAAACACTTTTAAAGAATTAAACCAAGGCTAAGCCTTAAGAAGCTCAGTGGAATGATGACCATGGCTAACCACTGCGTATTCTGCATGGTTTAAAAATAGGGCAGTGGCAAATTCCCTCCCCTCATTTCAGCAAAAGTTAATTAAATTGTAATGTTTTTGTGTCAACTACCAGAAAGTACATTACAATTTTTCGTTAGCCAAGGTGCATGAGAAATGTTATTTGGGAGACCTCAGAGATGTCATTGGCTCATATCTACATACTTTAGTCGAAAAGGGACTGCTGGTTTCAGTGGCTGAGGTAGTCCGTCCAGAGCTGCAGGGCATGTTTGTAAAGCCTGCCTACCAAGGACGCACGACAGGAAGACGTGTCGGGCTCTCGGAGGACAGCCGCTGACTGCTGCGGTGGGCTCCCCGGAGCACTCACAATCTGACCTTCAGGCTGACCTTTACCACGTTGCCTTGACAAAATCCCAGCACCGGGGCCGACAGCGCGCGCTCAGGTTCCGGGGGCGCCTCGCTGCCCCAGAGACTGCACCCCCGTTTGTCCAGCAGCGGTGGTTCACACAGGCCCTGCGGCAGTAGTGGTTGGCTTTAGCGCACAGCCGGTCTCTGAGCCCGGCCCCTGCCTGCCCGCTGGTTTCGGAGGAGGCCGGGCCAGCACGCTTGGGGCGGGGCCGCGCTTGACCCTGCCCCACACTGTCGACTCACTGACAGGACGGCCCGGCCGTGAGGAGCGGGGCTCGAGCAGCACACGTCCAGCGGCCCAATTACCTTGGCAGGAATTCTCAGCGTCCCTGCTGGCAGCCTCGGCTCCCCTCCTCCCCGCAATTCGCCACCTTTTTGTCCCAGCTTTTCCTTGACTCATTTGGCGAACTTGGCTTTAAGAGCTTTGGTTATGCGAATTCAGAGATGTGAAGACTGTTGGCACGGAGAAGTCCAAAGGACAGCCCTGTCCCCATGGACACGGCTCCCACGTGTGCGCCCAGGAGCACTGGTCTCCAGAGTGCTCGGGAGGCCAGGCCCACGCCACTTGCCGCCCAGCCGCCCTTCTCAGCCATACGTCCGCCCTCGGGGTGGAGCCTAACCACAGCGTTACTTTTATAGGTTTTTCTCCACCTGCCGTGCCTGCTGATGACTTCAGGTACAAAGCAAGTTGCCGAGCGGGTGGCCGGTCCTCATGCCCTCCGCCCTGGCTCTGTCCCACATGTCCTTTCTCCCATCATGTTCCTGGCTGAACTCCCCGGGGAGCTTGCAGAGCATCCCCCACCACTTCCTGCCTCGGCCTTGAATCGCCGACCTGCCTGACCCCTTGGAGGAGGCCTTCTGTCTCCACCGAGCTCTGGGGCAGCCGTTCCTGGACTCCGTGAGGGGCTGAGCGTAACCGGGCCGGGGCAGGCCTGGAAACGGGCCACCGGCCCCTTCACGCCCTTCCTCGCAGACGTAGTACGTGGTCTCGTCCCATGACGTGGGCTTTCTGTTCATGAAAGATGTATATATTTTCTTACTGTACATAAAGACGTTCCCGAAGTGGTGACAGAAAGCGATGCAGCCAGGGCCTCGGGCAGTTGCTGCGAATGCGTTTGTGTGCCTCCACGTGCCATCAGCGCCCCCAGCCCTCGACGCAGCTGTCAGATGGTTCGACGTAAGTCTCTTCGGATAGCACTGTATATGCATTGAGTTTTTAAGCAGGATTTCAGCCATCCTGCAACACTTCCAGATCTGTAGTTTAGAGGAAGTTTTCGTGACCTGTTCAGGGACCACGCAGGCTCTCTGCTGGCTGATATGTCCACCTCGGAGTCTGGGAAGGTCGAGGTCCCAGCCCACGGTTGCTCAGCCACTCGCCACAGAGGGCAGAGGGCTGCCGGACAGCGCAGGGCTGCTCTTCTCTGCTTGCCATTCTGGTTTCGGAAAACCAGAAGCAGAGTTGAAACGCAGCTGCCTCTTGGGAAGTCGGCCCTCTCCACTTCCGGTGCCACTGATGATCAGAAAGTGAGATGTCAGGGTTGGGGCCTCTGCGGCTGGCACCTCAGAGTCGGTTGCCGTGTCCTCACCAGTCACTGAAATCCCATCTAGAACAACGTTCACTTTAAAGGGTACTTTTTAACTGCTCCGTTTTTGACTATTTTAAATAGTTTGCTGATAGAAAACTCCTGATAACACTTGCTACATAACATGTTTTAATTGCTTGTACAGTTAACCTTTAATTTTATTTAGGAAAGTGTATCAAACTAGGGCTTTTTGAATTGTAAATACGTGGTTTTATTAAATAAAAGTCATGTAAAATTGTTGCTTATGTTCACTGCTGTTTGGTTTCAAGTTAGAGTTCTCACCCCAAAGAATGGTAAAATTTGACTTTGAGCATCGTGCTATTTGAATATTTTCAAGTGCACTTACTTACTAGTCTCAGTTAAATGAAAGAAGTGGTTTGGCCACCGTGATTTGGTCCAGGGATCGGAAGGTTAGTGTTGCCCCCCTTCGAGGCGGAGGGGAGCCCCAGGCTTGCTGCCCCTCGAGCCTGATCGCCTGCAGCTGTAGCCCCTGGCCCCCTGGCCCACGCGCCTGCCCCGCTCACCTGCTCACAACCCCTACCCCCGCGCCCGCCACCCGCCCCAGCCGGGCGTCGGCCAGCTGCTAGGCTCTGTCCCTGACCCCGAGCCCGCCGGGTGCCCCTGGGTGTCCGCGGGCACCCGCGGTCCCTCCCGGTCTCGGGGGCGGAGGCCAGCGGTGCTGCCCCACCGCGGTGGCGGTGAACGCGCAGTGGTCCACCAGGTCCCGGAGCCGGGCAGAGAGATGGACGCTCATGTTGCTGGTGTGCGCGCCCGTCCTTCCGTTCTCAGGCGCCCGGCTTCTGGGCCGTTTGTTCTGAAGTCTCTGCGCCCCGCACGGTGCTCAGAAACAGCGCCCTCCCTCTCCACGGCGGCCTGCCCCAGGGCTCCGGGCCACTGTTCTGTGGTCTCCGCCCTCTGCAGGCTGAGGCTGGTGGAGGCTTATCGAGGGTTGACAGCTGGGGGTGCGCTCACTGCTCCACCCACACCAGGCCTGGGGCTCAGTCTCCAGGATGACCTCAGTTATCTCCGCAGCAGCTCTGTCGCGGCCATGTCGGAGGCGTGGCTCAGAAGCAATCTGCTTGGGCGCCTCCAGCTGCGTGGTGGCAGAGTGTGGGGACTCAGACTCTGGCCCGAGGCTCCCCAGAGAACGTGTTGCTCTGGGGCTCCTGACCTCTGCTCTGAGGAGGCAGAGCCGTGCCTGACGGCTGGCCCTGAGGGGTGACCCCCGGCCAACTGTGGCAAGGGTGGAAGTTGGGGAGTGTTTTCCCAAGAGAAACTAGGGGCCTGACAGTTCAAAGACAACCACCCCCTGAAGTGTGCAGCCTGCCAAGAAGGCAAGAGAGGGAAGGAGGTGCTGCACCAGCAGGGCCGGGAGGCGGGTGCCCCCAAGCCGGGCCTTGGGGTGAGCTGTGGGTCACCAGGAGGAGCACGGGAGGGGTGTGGCCGGCAGAGGGAAGCCTTAGGGCCAGGTCCTCGGACGGGACACAGTAGAAGTTGTCTCCTGGGGTCCCTTTCATCCATAGCATCTGCATGCTTCATCACCCTAAGACCATCTCAAAGTTTAAAACAAACTAGTATTGGGGGTGGATGAACTTTCTTTTTATAAAAGACATGCTTCCCAGGTGGCTCAGTGGGTAAAGAATCTGCTGGAAATGCAGGAGGCACAGATTCGATCCCTGGGTCAGGAAGATCTTCTGGAGAAGGAAGCGGCAACCCTCTCCAGTCTTCTTGCTTGGAGAATCCTGTGGACAGAGGAGCCTGGCAGGCTATAGTCTGTGGGTCACAAAGAGTTGGAGACGATTGAAGCGACTGAGCAAGCATGCACGCCTGACTAGTGGTAAAAATCTAAATTATGACTGCAGATGAACTTACTCGAAAAGAAAAGCATGTATTTCCACTGAGGAACTAAAAAATCTCACATGTGCTATCACCCAAAAATGGTTTTCATTTAGTGGTGAAGAAGTGTTTCCTTTTCAGATGCCTTGGGCTGTATCCAGGTAGTGCCTGCATCCCTTATGCCACCGATGCCGACAAGAAACAAAAGACCCTCTGTAACAACAGCCACATCCAGTTCAGATCATTTAAAAAAAGAGAGAGAAAGGCTAGTTCACCCTAAATCTCCCTTGCCTGGTAGGCTGCTGTCTGGCATGTACACAGCTACTTCCATGAGTTGAGCCTAAGTCACTGATTATTGTTCTCAAGTTTTTTATGCCAATGGTGGTAGTTATTGTATTTACATAATTCAATTAAATGCTATGTTAAACCAGTGTTGCAAAAAGAAACTGTTGCTTCTAAGAACACTAAAAGCTTTGAAATGTCTCAGTAAAGGCAAATCTCTTTCAAATGCTGTTGAGTTGGGTGGGGTTCCCCGAGACAGCTGGAGAATACTTAGTATGTTGGATGTTACATGTTAACTATGTGCCAGGCACTACATTAAGCCTTTACTTAAAGTATGTTTGATCCTCAGCACAACTCTGAAGTGACTACTGAGGAGACCGAGGCACACAGAGGCCGAGCCACCTGCCTGATGGAGCAGGTGGTGTGGCCAGGATTTGAAAGAGGATGAGACTGGAGTCTGCGCCGAGGTTATTTTGCAAGAAATTTAAGAGATGCTATAGACAATTCAAAATGGGTGCGGTCATTCGAGAATCAAAGATTCTACCCTTAAGGAAAGGCCTTGGCCATCTCCCTGAAGATTAGCAAGTGGTTGTGTGTTTTATTTTCTAAATTAGGATAAAATGTTGAAAGCAGAAAACCAAGAGGCTAGTTTCATGGACATATCATTTAGATTGTCTTGTGCTTCCATTTTTCAGGCCCTGTACTTTTTGACAAAGAGATGAAAAAAAAAAAAAAACCTTTATAGCCTTTTGGTGTTCATAAGAATCATCTTAATTTTAGGGGTTTCTAGTTCGGACTGGGTCACTGCTCTGTAACTGTCCCCTCGAGGAAGCGGGCGGATCTGCTGGAATGGACAACTGTGTCTCGGGGTCCTCCTTCCAAAGCAGCGAGCCTGCCTTGTCCTCATTGGCTCTACTTCGTTGAGACATCCTCATCACTACCTGTCATCATTTTTGAATTCGGCATGGGACTTGTTGCCTGACACGTAATAGGAATTCAAGTAACAAATATATTCAGCAAATGAGACAGACATGAATGTTATTAACCCAACAAATTTATTGCGCCTGACTCTCCTGCTCATTGTTCTGTTCACCAGGGAGGATGATAAACCCACTGTCTGCCTTCCGGGGCCTCTGTCTCCTGGGGGTACAGTCACGGCGGGGGGGGGGGGTCACAGGCTGGGGTGGCGCTGTGCCTGCAGGCAGCTGTCAGGCGCTGAGGGAGGGGGATGATGATTTTTGGGTCCCTGGCGTTCTTCCTCGGACGTGGTCTGTCTGAAACAGCTTGTGAGTTATTGGAACTTTGTTATGAAATAGTTAACAGAAGATTATTACCTTCTAGTCAACTGGAACATCTTCAGCACAGGTAACATAATTGGAGAGGACATCGGTAACTTTGCAGCTTAAACATGACTGAATACACCCACACCCCCACACCCCTACATCTCAGAGACCTACTGGTCACCAGGTTGAAGGCTGATGAGGAAATCCACCTGGGTAATTGCCGGTGGTTCAAAGTCCGCTGAAAATACTTGTTCTCTCTCTAGTGAACCAAAGGCCGGGAGACTCATAAAAGCTCTAGGCACCGAGTCTGTTGCCAGTTTGTCTTTGAAGCCTCCTCAGCCACAAAAGAGTGGGCCACCTCTGTTCCCAGTCTGAGGCACAGGAAAAACCAAGTTCTATCTGCCAGGGAGTCACTATTTTACTTTGGTCTTGATGAATAGGATACAGAGAAGACAAAAAAATTGTAGAGGAAAAAGAGAAGGGAAGCAGGAAGGCAAAGCTTTTTACTCTCCTCACTGTTACGTTTATGTGCTTTGACTAAGTACGATATTGTAAAAGAGTATTCCTGCTGTGGAAGTTAGGGAATTTTAATCAGTCTTTATTGGCTTTAAAAAACAAAATGTCATCAAAAGACAAAAGTTATCGTGATAGTCTCACAACCGAGCCATCTGCCTACAGTGGGGTTTTCTAAAGGTATTTAGCACTGAAGAAGAGATCACCCTTCTTATGATCCTTCTTAAATTTAGGGGTGGAAGAATACTCTTAATCCCAAATCTGCACACATCTCAAAATTCAAGCTAAGACTATGAAGAAATAAAGCCCCTGACTCCCAAAGCATCAAAGAGACCTTAAAACAGCCATCGCTGATTTCAGGTTAAGGAGATAGACCTGTCAGGGGTTTCTTCATGTTAATATTTGACACAGTAAAAAATCATGTGCTTAGTGATGGTCTAAGATCTGAAAATATCTTGGTGAAAAGGAAAGGCTTGTGGACACTCAGCAGTCACACCACTCTGTATATTTTGCACCTGCAAAACAATACAGTCACCATTTTGTCTTCACTGGAAAACAAAATTTCATTTTTGGTACAGATCAATGCATTTCTTTAGTGGGTCCAAGAAAATGTGTCACTAGCATTGAAGACTGTCCTTGAGCCAGAAACAGACATTCACAGTTAGACAGACTGAGCCTTCTTTCATTGGACAAGGCTCTTCTCCCTGTTTCTCATCCCTCTTTTCCTGGGTGTTGATTACCCCAGAAGCTAGCGCTGTTTACATGCAAAACAGTTTTAAGGGAATTAGTGAGGTTTGAACTGAAACGAGCAATTCAGGACCACACAGTTCAATCCATTCAAAGAGGATTTACTCATGTGCTTGGTGCACAGGAATTTGTTGGGCACTCTGCCCATTTGTTGAACACTCTTGAACATAGAGGAGGATCAGTTCTCCTCAGTGTCAGGACACTGAAATTATGGAATTGCTCAGAGAGAAAAAGGTCTGTGACAGCTTTTTATGAGAAGTCGGGTACATTAAGCCATCCCTGTTTGTTTCCCTGCACCTGTTTTACTATTTTCTCTATATTTAACTCAATTCTGTGCTCAGCATTAATTTGGAAGCTGAACAATTAAGAATATAAAACACAATTTCATCCTGGTCATCAGGGGCCTTTTTGAGAGTGGCGACAAAGAGAGAACAGCAGTTTAGTGAAGGATGGAGTGAGCTGAGACTGAAGTTGCCCATCAGTTGAGTCAGGAGGGCAGAAAGGCCTTGGCCTCCCTGATCTTCTGCTTCACGCCTCTGCAGGACAGAACAAGCCCGGCGTGGTGGTGCTTCAGGCTCGCCAGGCGCTGGTTGAGCACCTCCGTCCTGTCCACCTTCTCTTCCATGTCCCGGAGGAGGGATTCCTTGCCTAGAAGCCCACACTTCTGATTCAGCCTGATGTTGTCAAGCCGCAGGCCATCTCGGGCTTGCTTAGTCTTGGTCAAGATGTCCCTCTTCTGGGCCACCTGAGCCTCAATCTCCATGAGCTCTGCCTTTTTACACATGTTTTCTATGTCCACAAAGTGTAACTTTTCCTTCACGTGAGTTATTATCTGCACGTTGTTGGTCACCTTGTGGCGCAGTTTCAGGAGCTCCTCGTCCCGCTCCTCGACCTTTTCATTGAAGGTCTGGTTCTCGATCTTGAGCTGTTCAAAGTCTATCAGGAGCAGGCCCTCAGTCAGGTCCTCCTGCGTCCTCATCCTGGTTTCAAAATGCACCAGGCTCTGCTTCAGCTGCACATTCTCTAGCCTCACGGCGCTCATCTCCTTCTCCTTCTTATCCTCCAGAGCCTGGATCTGCTCCACCTCTCGCAGAGCGCCCTGGCGGCCGCCCCTCATCCGGCAGCTGCCCATGGCCTGCATCACCACCTGCTTCTCGAGCGCCTGGAAGCGCCGCCACTCCTTGTCCACCCGGGACACCTTCTCTCGGCACTGCAGCTTCAGCTGGTCCAGCTCGCGGTGATACCAGCGCAGGTCGTCGGCCTCCTGCTTCCGCAGGTCCTCCAGGACGGCCAGATGGCGGAGGTAGGCCTGCTCTTTCTCGGGGGCCTCGGGCTCCGCGCCCCTGTCGCCTCCGGGCGCCTCGGCGGCGGCCTCCACACCCTTTTTCTTGCGCAGCGCCTCGAAGATCCTATGCTGCAGGTAGCTGTTGTAGCGTTGGTAGCGGCCGCGCTCCACCACCAGGGCGCGGTACTGCTCCAGGAGCTCGGCACGCAGCTGTTGCTCCTGCTGCTTCTGCTCCTCCTCGCTCCAGTCGTGAGGCTCGACTGCGAGCCCCTCGTCCAGGTTTCTCAGCTCGTCCTCGTCTTTCCGGGGTACCCGGGACTCCAACCCCTCCTCGCTCGCCTCGCTCTCTTCGTCCTCCTCTACCTGGCCTTCCCGCGCAGTGCCCCGGGCTGCCGCGGCCTCTTCCTTGCCGGCCGTGGCCTGCTGCAGAGCGACCTGCGACGGGACTCCCTTCCTCCCGGGCTCCGCCACCGCCGCCGCCGCCGCCGCCGCCTCTTCTTCGCCCTCCTCCTCCTCCCCGTCCTCCTCGGGTTCCTCGGGCTCCGGCTCGGCTGGCTCCCCAGGCCCGGCCTCCCGAGGCTTCCCTGGCTCGGCTTCCTCCTGGGCCTCGGCCGGGCTCTCAAGATCTCCGGGCCTCTCCTCGGCAGCAGCTTCGGTGACCGCCAGCCCTTCCTTGGATTTGGCCGGCTTCGGCGCGGCGGCGCCTTCCTCCGAAGCCTCTACCGTCTTCGTCTCCGGCTCCGGCTTCGCGGGTTCCACCGGGAAGTGGGGGACGGAGCTGGCCTTGACCCCGGACAGCCGCGAGGCCAGACCCTCCACCTCTCCATCTTCCGTCTCGGGGTCCCCAGGGTGGTCGTCCATCTCACTCCGTTCGGGTCAGCGCCGCAGACCCTCCCGCGGGGAGCTGCTGGCTCTTCGGTTTCCAGGGGCAACCAGGGGCGCGCGCGGAGGGGCCCGGCGATTGGCTGGACCTCTGCCCCTCGCCCCGCCCCTTCTTCTCCCCGCCTTCCCGGCCAGAGCAGACCAATGGGAGGCCGCGCCCGTACGACGGGGCGGCGGCTTTGATTGGCGGAGAGCGTAGGCTCGTACCTAGAAGGGGCGGGGCGCATCCCGCCGTACTTCCTTTTCCGCCCTCTTTCCAGGGCCTGGGGCCCTGCCCCGTTCTCCCCGCCTCCAGGCCAGAGCAGACCAATGGGAGGCTGCTCACGGACGACGGGGGGCGGCTTTGATTGGTGGAGGGCGTAGGCTCGCACCGAAAGGGGGCGGGGCGCGTCCCGCCGCGGCTTCCTTTTCCGCCCGCTTGCCGAAGCGTCGCTGCCTCTGGGGCGGGGCGGCCGGCACTGGGGTTGGGGGTGGGGGGACGCGCAGGCGCAGAGCAGCAGGCCGGGTTCCCCCCACCCCCACCCCCCCCGCGCGGCGGCGCCTGCGCGGTGAGCGGCCGGGTCGGCCCGAGGGCGCCTGCGCGCTGAGGCGGGACGCGCGGCCCGGCAGGCCGGCTGCAGCGGGCGCCTGGGGCGGGGCGGCCGCGGCGGCGGCGGCCGCGGCGGTTTCGCTGGAGCGCGGGGCGGCGGGGCCCCGGCGGCGGAAGATGGCGGAGCTCGGCAAGAAGTACTGCGTGTACTGCCTGGCCGAGGTGAGCCCGCTGCGCTTCCGCTGCACCGAGTGCCAGGACATTGAGCTGTGCCCCGAGTGCTTCTCCGCCGGCGCCGAGATCGGCCACCACCGCCGCTACCACGGCTACCAGCTGGTGGACGGCGGGCGCTTCACGCTCTGGGGGCCCGAAGCCGAGGGCGGCTGGACCAGCCGCGAGGAGCAGCTGCTGCTGGATGCCATCGAGCAGTTCGGCTTCGGGAACTGGGTGAGCGGCGGGGCCCCGGGCGCACCTGCGGGGGTGCGGGCGCCGAGAGGGCGCGGGGGGTGGCCATGGACGGGGGGTGGGGGCCCCCGCCCGCCTCCCGGGGCAGGGCCAGGAGCACAGAGAGGGTGCGCCAGCCGCCCAAGGTCACACAGCAGGAAGTAGCGGGGCGGCGGGGTGCGAATCGGGCTGACGGCCCCCCACCTCTCACCCCCGGGCCGTTTTCCCAGCATTTTGGGGTGACCTCTGCGGGTGTCCGCCTAGTGCACCCCTTGGGCGAAGCCCGGCGCCTCGCCGGGGACTCCCCAGAAGGGAGTCGGGGGGACACGGGCGGCTCTGAGCCTTGACAGCAGTAGGGCGGCCCAGGAAGGAGTGGGTTTTGCCTGGAGGACAGTGTGCTGAAGGCCAGAGCAGCTCCTTTCCACGCCTTCTGCCCTGCAGGCAGGCGCTCCTGGTCCTCCCGGCCACCCTCACCGCCGCGGCCGGCACTCACTTTGTGGCCTTGTGGCCCCTGCCAGGCACTTGTTGACCCTTGGCCCCCGCGACACCCCGGGCTTCGTGTGACCTGGGCTGAGTGGGTTCTGCCGCAGAGCGCATGGACCGGGCCATGCCTGACCTTTTGCATTTGGCCCAGTTGGTAAAGAGTGCCCCAGCAGTGCGGGATACCCCGGGGTTTGACCCCTGGGTGGGGAAGATCCCCTGGAGAAGGCAGATGGCAACCCACTCCCGTATTCTTGCCTGGAGGATCCCCATGGACAGGGGAGCCCCGTGGGTTACCATCCACGGGGTCGCAGAGTCGGGCACGACTGAACGACTTCACGTTCTCTCAGAAGGTTTCTTTGGGGACGTTTATCCGAGGGAGAACACAGCTGGACTGCACTCGTCCACATCGGGCTCTGGAGAGAGAGGCACGTGGTGGCTCTTCTCTAGGTGGTCTCTGAGTGTTCTTTGCAGTCTGCAAAAGGAGGCTTTCATCGTGTTAGGAGAAGGCCTGGCTGGCTTTGGCCCATAACCACCAAGGATGTGTGGCCACCTCCAGGCGTTGTGAGAAGTGTGGGGGGAGAGACGGGAGCCCACTCCCTCCTCTTTCCAGACCCTTCCACGTGGTGGTCCCCCAGCTCCCCGAACCACTTCTCCAGCAGCATAGCCGTCCCTCGCTATCCACGAGGGGGGGCGGGGGTGGATTGTTCTGGAATCCTCCCAGGCCACCAGAATCGTCCCATACTCTGTCCCTTGTCTAAAATGTCGGGGCAGGGTTGAGCCCGCAGATGCTGGGGCCTGACCGCCGGCCCCTTCCCCCGGGCTTGCCATTGGAGACGTTCCATGCTTCTCCCCGCGTCCCCAAACCTGCCCTGCCTGTATTTCGGTTAGCTTTTCTCTGTCGGTCGAGCGAGCCTGCCTTCGGGGACCCGTGCCCATTCCGCAGCCCTGGAATCTTGAGCCTCTCCCAGCTCCTTAGAGACACTGCTCCCGGTTCTCAGCTGAGTGCCAGCATCACGGAGGCCACCCTCCGGACCCCCCTCACTTGGTCCTGAAGCGCTGTCCATGGACACGTGTGGAGCCTCTGCTCCACGTGTGTCCTGTGACGGTGAAGGAGTCTGGAAGGAATGGTGTCAGCCTGGCCTTCATGGGCATTACAGGGTTGTGGCGGGCTGGTCCTGAGGTCCCGCCTCCGGTTGCAAACCCATCCCTGCCGTCCCGGTGCGTATTCCCTGGACTCCTCCACTTCCCTTGACCCAAATCTCACACCTTGATTGGTCGGCTCCTTGGGCTGCAAATGAAGTACCATCCTCAGGGCCTTCTTCCAGGTCCAGTTCAGCGGCAGCCCTGTCTTCAGAATCTTCCAGAAGCTAGCCTCTTCTCACAGCCTCAGCGTAGGCTGTTGTCCATCTCTTGCCTGACGGCTCCTGGAGCCTCCGGACTGGCCTCTCTGCTTGGTCCCCGGGCCCTGCAGCCCGTTCCAGGCAGCAGGATCGGAGCCATCTCTGAGGACAGGTCACCTCCCATCAGCCTGCAGCGGCTTCCAGTTCTCCGGAGATGAAACTTGAGGGCCTGCAGGGCCTTTCAGCATCTACTTATCCCGGGATCCTTTTGATCATTTGTTATTTGTTCTGTTGAGAATGCTCCCCACTCCCCGACCCCCCCAATCATGGTTTGTGACTGGGCTTTCTGCTCCCATATCAGTGCTTCAGAGAGACTTCCCTTCCCCGCTTCATTTTTGCAGCTCTTTTCTCTGCAGTTGCTGCTAAAAATAGCTGGCATGGACCGAGAGGCTCGCTGGGTGCCAGGCACTGTGCTGAGCTTGTGTGGTTCCTTGTGAGAGCCTCCCAGCACAGGTCTGTGCCACAGGCTTCGGACCGAATCGTTTGGTGTCCGAGTCTGTGCTCCGAGCCGTCCCGTCAGCACTGCCTCCCCTGCAGCTCTGCGGAAAATACTTGAAAAGTGAGCCTGGGACTAAAAGATGTATTGTAGATGCTGAGGGAGGCCAGGAGGGTACTCTGAGAGCAGTACTACTTTAACTTGCACGCGAACCATCTGGAGAGCGTGCTGAAAGGCAGGTTCCGACTCAGGGCCGGCAGCTGGCTCAGCTGCTCCAAGAGACAAAGCCGGGGGCTTCTCTCTGCTCAGCAGACGTTGGGGTCTGGGCTTGGAGGTCCACGGGCCAGGCCGGGGCATGGCTCTCCCGTCTCTCCCTCTGCTCTCTGGGGCGCCTTTGCCCTGAGCTTCGCTGTGCTTCCTCAGAGGTTCCTCTGCAGTGCTGAGATGCGGGCTGTTTCCAGGCGTGAGCCCCGAGCCCCGTGTCCCACGCAGGCCGCCGTCAGCAGGTGCGGGCTCTGGGTGGGGCGCTTTGCATGCGTGCCTGTGTGCTCCTCTCAGCAGGCTGTGGGCTGGTTCTTGGTTGAAGACCAGCGATCCTGAGAATGGAAGGCCCTGGTGCAGACCCCGGCTTCCACGCGGTGAGGCCAGAGCCGGGGCTTAACCTCCTGCTGCGGTAGCAGTACCTGCTGTGGCCGGGGGGCTGTGTGCTCCTGGCTGGGGCCGGGTCTTGACTCGACTGGGTGGGGGGTGAATAAGAGGGCCAGGGCCGAGGGACAGGGACTGGGTCCCACAGGCGGGTGTGCGTGTGGGGACAGTGATGCAGAGGCAGGTGAGACCGTTGTGATTTCTCTGGTGGTACACGTGGGCGCGGGGTCGTGGGGACTCCGTGGGGACAGACCCTGCTGAAGTCTGGGCCGTTTGCTCACAGTGTGTCCCAGGGTCTGGGCCTGGCTGAGGGGTGCCAGCTGCAAGGCCAGGAGGGTTTGGGACGAGCAGCAGAGAGGACGGGGGTGAGCGGCTGACACCTGTGATGGTAGACCAGGAAAGAGCTCAGACTTCACTGGGCCCACCGCGGCCCAGCACCGTGGGTTCTGAGCTGCCTCATCCCGGGCCGCTAGTTGTGTGCTGGGCGCTGTGCAGGTTCAAGGTTGGCAGACAGGGACCCTGGGGGACGCAAGCACGGACGTGAACGCCAGGCTGCACTTTCCCACGGTGCCGCGCATTCGTTGGTTGGTTGCTGAAGCATCGACCAGTTTCAGGGAGGCCTGGGCACCCCACCGCCGATGGTCAGGAGGACTCCAGGGGCAGGTGGGGTTCACGCTGGCCCCGAAGCTCGATTTCAAGTTGAAAAAGGACGTGGACTAGTCTGTGGACTCTGCGAGGCCTTGTGCTGTGAACGTACGTTCAGGCTGATTACCGGAGGCAGGCGGGACGTCATGAAGAAGGGCTCTCCTTGCGTGGATGACAGTGGGGCCTGGCAGGCTGGGTGACGCAGACGCGCTGTGTGCTTTCATCGTCCAGCACTCGCTCAGGACCCACGTTGTGCTGGACCCCATGCTACACGCAGAGTGTCCGCAGGTGCGGCCTGGATGCAGCGGTTACAGAGAGTCCAGGGCTCTGATGCAGTGAGTTCTCAGCACGCTTCTTCTCCTCGGCGGGGCGGAGGCCTTCTGTACGTTGGTGGGAAACGGGTCAGCTTCCTGAGAGCAGGGGTCTTAATCGCCACCAAAGAGGGGCAGGGAAGAGCTTGGGTGGAGAAGCCAGCTGGAGTTCAGAGAGCTATGCAGAGCGGGGCCTTTGTTGTTTGGGGGGCTGGTTCTGTGGGCCCTAGTTCCCTGGCTCGGGGTTGAACCCGCAGCCCTGCAGAGGGAGCATGGAGTCACCGGAGCTCCAGGGAAAGCCAGTCCCTGAGAAAGTGGTTCTTAAACTCTCAGAGTGATTGAGAAAACCCTGGGAGGCTCCTTAAGCACAATCCTGTCCTTCTCCCCTGCCACCCCACCCTTCTGAAGTCAGTAGGTCAGGGGGCAGCGTGAGAGTCTGCAGTTCCACCAGGTTCCCAGGTGATGCTGCTGCTGTCCCGGGGACCCTTTGCTTTAAGAAGCACCGGTGCAGCTAGAGTAAGGCATGTGACTTGTAAAACTTTTACTATTTGAAAAAATGTATATATTTTTATTGTGGTAAAGTATATATTATGTACACATAATGTATACATAAAATATATATTTACATGGATGCATGTATCCAGTGTATACTTTATGTATATATTAGATACATGTATCCATCTATATATATACTTTATGTATACGTAGTATACATTTTATGTATACATTAGACATACAGTGGACTGCAAGGAGATCAAACCAGTCAATCCTAAAGGAAATCAGGCTTGAATATTCATTGGAAGGACTGATGCTGAATCTCCAATACTTTGGCCACCTGATGTGAAGGACTAACTCATTGGAAAAGACGCTGATGCTGAGAAGGATTGAAGGCAAGAGGAGAAGGGGGCGACAGAGGATGAGACGGTTGGATGGCATCACCGACTGGATGGAACTGAGTCTGAGCAAGCCCCGGCAGTTGGTGATGGACAGGGAGGCCTGGTGTGCTGCCGTCCATGGGGTCGCAAGGAGTCGAACGTGACTGAGTGACCGAACTGATACATGATGTAAAGTTCGCCATCTTAA